TCATTCATTAACCATATTGCATCATGATACTATTTTATCACAAATAAAAGCATATGACAATCTCTACTTAATAGCTTTTCATTCTAGGAAATTTTTAGCAGCTAAGATTAACTATGAGATCTATGACAAAGAGCTTCTTATAATTGTGGATTCATTTCAAGAATGACATCATTGACTAGAAGCTGCCTTGAGTACAATTGCCATGTATACAAATCACAAGAATCTTGAGTACTTCATGTTGGTACATGCTTTGAATAGTTTCTAAATCCATTGGAGCATATCTTTATAAAAATTTGTTTTTAAGATTACTTATCAACTTAGAAAATAATAAGATTTGTCAAATACCTTTTTTAAATGTTCTTATCTTGCACCAAAAGAAAAAAAAAATGCATCTTTTGATCAACAAAAAATGCATCTTTTGATCAACAAAAAATGATTCTCTTAAACTTAGAATATTTTTAACTTTGAGTAATAAAATCAACATTAGCTATTGATTCAATCTTTGTCAAGCAATATTGATTAAGTATGTCCTTTAATCCTCTTATTCATAATATTAAGAATAAGTCTTTTAAGTCTCATGATACTTCTAAGTTTGAATTCAAAAATAATCTACTCTATTTTGAGGAATGATTCATTATTCTAGAAAGTAAAGTACAATTATGTATTTTTTAAGTTGATAATGACTATCCAACAATTAGATATTTTAAATGCAATAAGCTTTTTGAACTAATATTGAAGAATTTTTGGTGGCTTCAAATGTGAAAGATAATTAAAGACTGTACAATCATGTGATATTTGTTCAAGATCAAAAATACTTCATTATTGACCTTATGGACTTCTTCAGCCACTATGTACTCTGAAACAACTATAGTCTTTTATTTCTATGGATTTTATCATAGATCTTTTAGTCTCAGATTTATATGATTCTATATTTTTAATAGTACATCATTTTACCAAGATAGCACATTTTGTACCATATACAAAATCTATCACAAAAAAAAAAAAATAACGAAGTTTTTTTTTTAAAATCTATTGCTATCATGGATTATTTAAAGATATTATATTAGATAGAAAGATTCAATTTGTATCAAGATTTTGAAGAATCCTTTTTAAGATTTTAAAGGTAGATATAAAGTTCTCTTTAGCTTTTCATTTCCAAATTGATAGACAAACGGAATGGATGAATCAAGTTTTAGAGTAATATTTGAGATATATCATCAAGATGATTGGATAATTCTTTTGTCAATAGCAAAATTTGAATACAATAATTTGGTATATTTTTTTATTCAACAAACACTTTTTTTTGTCAATTATGGTTAACACTTATGACTTCATACTTTTGACTTTTTAAAAGTTGATAATCTTGTAATAAAAGATTTAGCAAATCATTTATTAAAGCTACATGCAACAATGAAGGCACAATTTAAGGAAGTTCAAAAATTAGAAAAAATGAATGCTGATGCTTATTGCAAAGAACAACCACAATTAAACATGGATAATAAGGTATGGTTACTTCATCACAATATCAAGCCTACTTGTCTTTGTGATAAGTTGGACCATCGTAAGCTTGAAACTTTTTGAATTTATGAACAAATCAATCTTATTGCTTATTAATTATATCTACCAAAGTCTAGGAAGATCCATTCTATATTCCATATATCTCTTTTGAGTCATATAAGATAGCAAATATCTTTAAAAGAAGAAAAATCCCACCTCCTCCTATAGAAGTGAATAATAATAATAATTTTGAAGTAGAAAAAGTCTTAGATTCAAGACTATGCCAAAATAGATTTGAATATCTTATTCATTGACAAGGATATGATATTAATAAATGTACATAGAAGCGAGCAAAGAATCTTGCAAATGCAACAAAGAGAATTGAAGTTTTTTACCAATGACATTCATTAAAATCAAGATGAAGAATAATAAGATCTATGAAAGTTGATGACCACTCCTCATGAATCTCATCCTTCAAAGAGGAGATAATGTCATACAAATATATATTTATTCTAGTAATTATTTATATGATTAAGTAGAAGTAGATAAAAATAAATTAATTTTATGATATCTTACAGAGAAGCTTTTTAGAAGCTTAATAGATGTTACTTTGACTTTACACATTTTTATAGCTAATTGATAGGTTAGAAAATTTATCAACAAATTAGCCAAGTATTACATATGTTAATTAATTATATAGTCTACATATAGATAACTTGTCTTGCAAATTAAGACATGTGTTTAGCAAAGTCAACACATGTTAGAGGTTCTAGAGCATATTGCCACTTAGCTCCTAATTAAGGAGATATATAGAAGTAAGAATAAAGCCTTCTATACTCTTATCAATGCTATTTTTATCCTTAAACTTGTTTTTAGACTTTTTAAACTTCTTGTCTTTGGCAATAGCCATTCTAGTTCAACATATTACCATCTTTGAGCAATTTCTTAGTCTTTTCAAGTGACACAAGAGTATATTGAGGATTTCTTAATTTGAAATTCATGTCTTTGACAAACACAAAACTACTTAAATTTTGTTATAAAATTGATAATTATTATGTATTTAGGTAAATATATATCTATATATAGATGGCTATTTTATTGGCACATTTTATAATTATTTATTTTTAATTTATTTATTAATAAAAACTTACAAATTTTATGAATATTTTAATATTTTAATTTTAGTTTACATTATTTGATTGAAAATATCTTGAAAATAGTACAATTGATATTTTAACATAATTTTTTGAATATTTTTGATATTATTAGTGTTATATAGTTGTAGATAGAATTTATATTTTGGAATTTTATTTTATTTTATTTTTATTTTTATTTAGGAAATCACTCAAATAAAAACAAAACAAAACAAATCTAGATTGCATCCAACTCACAACAATGGATTCTGTTGAGGAGGTAGGACAAGTCGCTGTGATCAGATCCAGGCAATCCATTCAGCTGGACTCACATCAAGCTCTGTTGGAATTTAGACACTACAATCTTCCTACTCTGCTATGTCGCTGAAACCTGCAATGTAGTGGTAGACATTCACAGTAAGAGTTACCTGCTTAATTGTGCTGTTTTTGAGCATTTGCAAGGATATGGTTCCTGGAATATGGACCATTGTGCTCTCTGCCTCTTCACCTCCGATTCCAGCTAACTAGTCAACCACCAGTGTTGTCATGGTGCTTCAGCATGTCCACTACAAGATAAACTGAAGATTATTTGTTAAAATAAATAGGTGTTTATTCGACCACGTTTTGGCAACTCATTAGTTCACTGTTCTTGTTCTCGAAGACAAAACCCAGTTAGCCACTGACTGGGATATCACAAATGATATGAAGACATTCACAGGAAGAGTCGATGCTGTTTGGGCATGTAATTCTTGCAAAAACAACACTATAAATCCCCGACCACACTGCTGATTGCCGTTGGGAAGAACTGGCTGGAGGTGGTGATAGGCTGTCTGGAAACCTTGCGTTCTGTAACATAGCTAGAATATTAAGTTGTGCAAAATATTCAAACCAACCGCTCGTTTAATCCATGTTTGAAGCACAACTATTCAAACGATCAACACAACCATGAAGTCACACATGACTTCATCATAAATTTAAGGAAAGACTGCGTACAAGCCTCCGACAGACTTTCAACTTGCAGCGTCCCATGCCTTATACGTTTGTAAACTTCGACAGCGAGAAAATCATCAAAAGACGGCAACGATCCTATATCTGTTCTTCTAAGTGCACTGGCAACCTTGTACACAGCCGAAAAATACGAGAAAAAAATTCACATCAGAGTTCGTATATCAGACACGACGCCTTGGTCCATTCAAATTACTTATAAAAGAGTCCACGAACCTTGTACACAGCCGCTCACCAATGAAGTCTTTTATTGAGATAATCCTGCGCTTCTCTAGAAAACCTTCCTATTGAAGGCGTTCACAACCAAGAGTGTTAATGCCCATATCAGCAAGGAGGTGACACCAAACAAGGCCAACTCCTGAGCCGTATGTGTAGAAATTTACGCCAAATCTCAGACCTAAGTTGATGCGAAGAAGAGGAGAATCTGAACATAATAATAATAATAATAATAACATACAAACTTCGTGAAAGACTCATTGAAGACTCAAGACACAGAAGCAAAACAATAGCAATCCAACCATCGGTCAACCACTGCCTCCGCTGCAAGCATCAGGCGATCATCAAAATGCTAACCCAGGGACATCTGTGGATTCAAACTCTGTAACCCAAGAAAACGGAAGTGTATGTCGTGTCCGGCACACACACGTCCCGAGACAAGGCAGCGAGTGTGGGAGAATCGAGAAACTCCACATTCGCTCCCGTCAAGAGAAAATCCCCCACATCACGAGGATCACCGCAATCGATCAAAGCTAAGCAGCGATTTTCTGGATGTAACATCGAAGATCTCCGTACCAGAAGTCGACGATGATGTGAACACAACTCCAACGACGACACAATCGTTGAAGTTGTGATCATCTGAAGCTCGTTGCTTCACTGCCTTGTTTTACAATAATTCTCTCAAAACCCTAATATTGCATTAACTACAATCGTATACCTGTTAATAACTAGAACTTGTTCTTAAACTTCGTTGAAATTCTTCAATGAGGTTCTAGCTATAAAATTAACTCAACGGTCTCATCCAATATCGTACGGGAAGTATAAAATATTGTACCCGCTAGATTTTGGCACAAACCAACACTCAACACAATTAATTATGAAAACTGAACGTAATTTCCTGTTCCATTGCATCCTTATTTTAAGTGAATGCCTTACATTAAAGCAGCTTACATTAATAGGTTAACGAACAAACGACCGGGTGACTGGTTCGCCAGAACGGGATCACTGGATGTTCCCGGTTGATGCCTCAATGGCGCGCTTTCGTTTTCTTTTTCTTTTTCTTTTTTTTTGATGAAGCATGAAGCGAGAGTAGCTCTTCGCTTAAGCCATTCCTACTCCTCTTTGTCGACATTCTCCGCAGAACCTAGTGCCCCCCCCCCCCCCCCCACCCTTTTCCTTACTTCCATCGCACTCGTCTCTCCAACGTGTTCCGGAGCAGTTTTTTTGGTGCGGTTTTAGTGCCGTTTTGGTTGGTCTCGTCACAGAAGGCTTAGGGTCGGAGGTTAGAAGGTCGCTTGTTTTTCGCCGTTGCCTTCATCGCGTTGACTCGCGTTTCATGGACTGAGGAAGAGGTTGCAACGAGCTCCTCGAGCCTTGCTCTGTCTGCGGTGTTATATTTCGTGTTGGTCTCGGGGGTCTCTTTTATATTGCAGGTGTACGCATTGGCGTTCGCACTTATGTGAGTTTACGTGGCGCTTTGCTGGAGTTGGTGCTAATCCGTGGATGGAGTCTTCTTATGGTTTGCTTAGCCGTTTACTCGTGGACTCTCGGTTTTTTCCTACGAGAGTATGGCTTGATTCTGTTAGGAGACGACTTCAGACGGTTTCTGGGCCGGTTTTTTGGTGGAACACCAGGCATAGCGTGGAAGCCTCGGAGCTAGTCCTCTTTGTCTAATGTGAAAATTCATGATTAATAACGAAATCGCGGAGGCGGTTATGGAGATTCGAAATGAACTCGGCCAGGAGAAGGTCAGAGAAAGTTAGAAAACGGGTTGTGGCATGCAACGAACGCGTCCAGGATGGCCAGGGTACAGTAGTGTGCAGCCTGTGCGAGCGCGCATAGGTCCTACCTTAGTAGATTCTTTTCCTCCGTCTCTGGGGCTACTTCAAGGTTGCTGTGGATGAGCGGAGCGTAGGGTTTAGTATCGGCGCACACAAGTGAAAGTGTGGACATACGCAAACCGCAGAAGCAGTGGAAGCACCTCGTTTACTCGGACAGATGAAGAAGATGCTGGACACGCGCTTCCCTGCTGTAAGTGTGCAAATCCTATCTCTGTGGAAGAAAACACTGTTGTAAGAACTGAGTAATTTAAATTTAATACCTGAGAGCGGAGCTTTTGACAGGGAAGGGGACATGGTTATGAGAGAGGATGTGTACTAGAGCCGGTCAATAGCCGATACAGGTGCCTTGTGGTGAGGTCTTTGTTTCATGAAAGGTTACTCTAGAGCCGGCTTTGATTGTTAAGTGCAGGGGTTTACTCGTTCTGGAAGATTTCAAGAATCAGTTGATAGTATACTGAAAATCAAATGAATAATGAATCGCATAGGTAAGCTTTTTGTCGTCTACTTTTTCTGCTTTTAGACGAACTAGTACAGGAGGCCTGAAAAATCCGGCTTTTTTAGTGAGTACGTGTCTCACCAATGATATAGCTGTTGCTTTCGAGCGATAGATAGCATAATTGTCTGCAACTAGACTAGCGCACATATGGGTAAAAGCGTACCTTCGAGTCCACTCGCAGGTGCACACTACAGAAGTAGCTCAAGTTAATGGATCATCACGGCTTTGTACATGTGTCAGAACTTGACTCTTATTGTAGACGTTTACAGGCTGTTGCCCACGAGATGTGGTAGTAAGTTGCCCCATGTTGAATGGCGATTGAAGGTTAGAGCAGGTAAAAGTGACCTAAAGAGAAACGTGTTTACGATGAGATATTAAGCTGCACACACACATCGCGACAACATTTTTCCGTGTGCTACTGTATGCCCAGTAATCAATGCCAGCGAGCAACGAAATCAATTTATCTTTGCTCGTCTCAGGCTCGAATAAAAAAGATTATGCAAGCCGATGAAGAAGTCGGGAAGATCGCTGTGGCGACACCAGTGTTGATTTGTACGTCTCTCTATTCCTCGACTCTCTTTCGAAATTTCTCCTTGTCTTTCATACGGTGTCTGATCTGGTAAATCGCTCGCTGCTTGCGAGATAGTTTATTAGAGTAGTTGAAGCTTTAGGGGCATGTTATTGCCATTCCCCTACTGTTAAGGTGTGCTAGAATTTGAAAAGAATTTTGGTCGATTCTGATGTGTATCCACAACGGGAGCTGATGAAGTCAGTGGGCAGTGGTGGCAGGTTGTCACTACTGAATATTATGTCTCCATCCTTCATGCATGCTCCAAGACTTTGTGACTGACAAGTTATAAGGTCATGCCTGCACTCAAAGTTCTTGTGTTAGTACAATTATTTGTAGCTGATGTGGGATTTTTAATCTTCCAAACGAGTCTTCAGGATGCATTTTTCGGTACTGATACAAGAATTTGCTCGTTTACTGCAGCTAAAGCTTTGGAGATGTTTCTTCAGAACCTTTGCGACAAAACTTACGAAATTACTCTCCGGAGGGGCGCTAAAACCATGAGTTCTATTCACTTGTAAGCGATGATACACATTTTCTTGTCTCATGAGGAATCTTTATGAGACATTGGAACCGAATTTCTGGCAGCATTCTCTTGGTTATGGTCCCTGTATGTCATGCATCGTTACGCGGTATTTATGACAACAATTTATTCTTGATGTTTATGGAATTTTATCCATTGAAATACCACAGCACACCCTTTCCTTACGTTTCGCTTGTGTATTGTACAGGAAGCAGTGTGTACAGACAAATAGTGTGTTTGATTTCCTACAAGAAATTGTTTCTAAGGTTCCAGATATTGGTGCAGAAACTACCGGTGAGGAAAGAATTAGTGGGAGGAGGTATGAGATGTTTGAAACTCTAGCTATAATCTAATACGTGAAAGCTTTCACTTTCTAATGCGGTTTGTATTATGATGTATTTGTTTAGTTGCGAAATGAGGCATGTATCTCACTGGAGCTTTTAGGTAGATTTTCTACCCAATCTGTATTTCTTTAGTTGATTTGTCTGTTCGATCGTGAGTCAGACTGACGGTAAGGTGTGTCACAGAAGTAACCTGCTTCGAGCTTTTTGCTTATCTGCAGAAAGCATTCAGATGGAGACGATAGTGATGAGGAGGTGTTGAAACGACCCAAATCGGTATGTTTTTCTTCACCATTTATGTTTCCTATCGAGGTTTACCTACTAACACATCGAGTTTTGTGTGAGCAGTAAGTGTTTTCTGTTATCTATTGTTTGACTTTATTGTGATGGTATTGATGTATTTCAGTTACTTTCTCTGACCCTAATATTATAATTCAGTTTCTGCGAGAAACTGCTATTAGTTCGAAGGGTCACGTGATTTTAAAAAAAATGGTGTGTGTATGTTGTGAGATATTCATGGGTTAACTATTGTTTGTAGGAGGCTCAATCAACGTCAGGTAGAGGTCGAGGTCGAGGGCGGGGCAGAGGTGGGGGACGAGGAAGAGGATCTAATGGGGGTGCTAGTGCACGCTTCGATGGTGTTGAGAAAGCAGTAGACTCTGATGATGCAGAAATGGATGCATGTTCACCATCCTCCGATCATGAGGGCGTAATTTTAGATTCCATAGTTCATTTTCCTAAACCCAAAGTGGAGGAGGCGGTTAACAGAGATGCTACTCCCACCTCGTCCGGCCCTGCGAGTAGGTCTTCAAAACTTCATGGATTCGATTTAAATATTGATTTAGATGAAAATGGTGAAATAGCTCCTGCAATTGATGAACTAGTTGCCAAGGAAGAGGAAGAACAAGAATGTGACGGGCCTGGTAATGAAGCGACCAAGGAATTGGATGTACATAGTGACAATGTCTTAGGGGGCACATTACATATGCAAGGGAGCGAACTCCATTCCTCTGTACATCCCGATGAGGACGATTATGACTGAAGATGAGGACGGTTAGTTGGGTTGTCCCAACTCATTTGCTGTTTTTCCCCTTGAAACTGCCAGGTGTTTCTCCTGGCTTTTACCTACTGACAACACTGACTGCTTGTATCGAAACTTATGGGGTTGGCTCAGCCCCTGTCGCGTAAATTTTACAATTGTATATAAAATACTTCGTCATTGCATCTAATTTTTATTCGTATGATCCAGCGTGTTGTTGGAAGAATTCTGAGACATGAAACTTACGAGGTGATGTGAAGGCGATGGACATTCATCATTGTTCTGAAGTCGAACACCAGGATTGAACATAACCAACGCCTGAGGGTTCGTATTGTAGGTGATTATATTAACTGCAGCCAAGTTGAGATACGCTTTGCACGATAGTAAGATCGAGTATGGAAGGTGATGGGTCCTGCCTTCTCCGAATTCTTGGATCCTTCATACACAGGTTGCTGTTGCATTCTGTTGATCATCGCACTGCAGAGACGGAAGAGATTGAAGACACGAACATGATGGGAAGTAGTGAACGTGTCGGGGGTTTTACGTAAATGAGTGTTTACGTGTTTTCTAACCCTGACTTCATCTCTTCGTCAACAACTTTGTACAGTTTTTTGTCTGTAAGTACTTCCGTTGTAATCTCGACTACCATCAATTCTGCCTTCTTTGATTCTCCTGTAGTTTAAAACGATAAAACGTGTTTAGTCCTAGAGTTTTTTTAACTTAACCCTGACTTGGAAATGGATCACTTGCTTTGTCAAAACCGCATGCGCTCGGTTTGGGGCTCCGTCTCGAGGAGCGTCATAAATTATTCGCCCCCAACCAGGTAGGATCATTCTTAAGATGACGGATAAGAGAGCATTTCAAACAAGGACCAGAACAGATTTGTATTCAAACTCGTGACAAGCATGTTATTTATCTAGTGAACTTCAGCTCTAGAGATAATAAAAAGTCTTCTTTTGATGAATTGGAAACTCCACTTGCTACATAGCCAGCTTAAATCTTGAAAGGTGATAATTAAAATAAGAATGGCGATTTACCAAGAATCAAAGTAATATTAGAATGTCCGATTACGATAGAATGGTAGCAACATCGGTCAGAGCGTCAGAAACGGGAACAATCTCTAAGTATACACCGTTTCTAGACTTTCTCCGTGCGACAGGATTACTAACGTATCACGTGTTTCAATCCCACACGCCGCAATTAATTTGTTCCAGCGAACAGGATGTATCCTTCCTTTTCAACCTGCTGCTGTACCTACACCAGCGTGAACAACGCCGCACCAGTTGTGCAATTTTTACTGGACTCCTCAAGCTTGCTGAAATCAATTGCGTAGAATTACGATGCTGCGTCTCTCCATCCTCCATTGCGTTGAAAGTGAATCTAAGGATGGTAATGAAGCCAGAATAAATTAGTTGATTCTGCAAGAAACAGAAGATTTGTTCATGTTTCATGCTGTTCAGTATCGGTCAGTTGGGTTCCATCGAAGGGAAGTCCCAGAGGTGTTGACAGGACGGGATCGGTTCCACTTGAACCAGTAGAGGGCTTCCAAGATGGCGAAAACTACAAGCTCCAAGACCAGGAGTATAATGTAACTCGTCTTCAGCGGGTTTGTACCAGCCCTATTATTTTTGGTAAGGTTTAAGCCCACGAAGATGTTGATACAAGCCAGAAAGAGTGCCAATCGACCTACCCACCAGTGGTACCAATTCCAGTATTTGCGCAGCTTGGCGTCCTTCCCGGGGCGTGCTATGACAGCTAACACCTGTTACAGACATTTTTACGATTAATTCACTGTGAGGAGCAAAACGAATTGATAAAGGTGAGCGTAATGGTCAGCTCTATTTTCTAGCTTAGAGGCTTTATATGCTGTCTGAGTGATAAAGTTCTTTTTACTTAGAACCCGTCACATCAGCTCAAGGTACTATCGTGTTCGAAGTTGAGAATCCAATTTTTCTAGGTAGAGACCGAGACGACATGAGAAATTTCCACAAACCTGTAAAATGGCGAGGGCGAAGAGGAAGAAACCGAGTCCTTTGTGGCCCGCTAAACCATGCACATTGATCTCGTTAGCAAGGCTAACACCAGTGCCCAAACCAGCAATGACAAATATGAATCCTATCATTTGGAACGTGATGTGGATGTAGAACCACGCAGGGTCAAGGCTTTTGGCGTAGCGAGCAAATAGGACCCCAATGGGCAGCAGGATTCCCCACCCGAACACCTGCAACGCTCCGTGAGTCCTCACTCTCTTTTGAAGCTTATCAGCTGCAGATTCTCCTACACTACCTGCAACGCCAAAACGCGCCAGCAAGTCAGATTCGAAAGACCTCCGCGACGAGTGTTAACAACGACTCTGTAAGTATTGAAATTTGTACCTATCCGTGCCAGGTTCTTAAATCATTCATCATCCACCACATCTTTAGCATGGAATGTGCCTTTCATAAGGTGGACACATATAAACGGTCGTTGCAGAATTGAAACACAAAATCTCGCATCACACTTCCGTAACAAGGGACACGAAAAGTGTAGTTTCACATGTGGGGAAGACACTAGAAACGTACCAGTAGGGAATGATGATTTATCCATCCATTGAACATTGTGCTGCATTGGCGCATCGTCTGCAGATTCTTGACCTTGAGCGTACAGCAGGAAGTTAGGCTTAGCCAACGACTTGGCAAAATCGATTTGAAACGCCATGAAAACAGTCTTTTGTTTACTGTCATAGCTAAGCTCCGGACCTGCTACGAAGGTTATTCTGGTAGCATCAGGTACAACGGCTGATTCTACCTTATCCCTGAGATAATAGGTCCTCACCCGAGGAAGGCCGCGGGCGATCCAGACAATAATGGCTGTAGATTTTATCATTTCGCCTTGTTCTGAGAATCCAAGCGCTACCCATTGCCCAACATCTAGAGGGGCCGCCACGACAATGCTAACGTATCCAGTTCCCTGATCTTTCAGTGACTGCCATACACCACAAAACAATGACCAGTCGTCTAGAGATCAGATCCAGAACCAAATGAAACTAGGAAAAAACAAAGGTCCTGGGTAACTCTTGACAAATTCAAGCAGTGGGAGAAAAATAAGGCAAGGTTTTGATCTGCATAAGACATAGATGACTATAAACTCCCACTCGCTCACTCATCAAAGACGCACTTGGTCTCTTAGCCTGGATGACCCAAAGTGCGTCACATATTCCATCGAATACGACCAACTTCGGCAACTACAGAAGATTTCACATGTCCTATTTGTGCGCACAGAAAAAAGTGTCAGGGAGATCTATGCAAGGTGAGGAGAAGTTGAGTAGCAAGTCGAAGAGACGCATACCCACAAAAGGAAGGAGCCGGTGATACCATCTGGTGCTGGGGATTCAGTGCAAGTAAGGGCATCAGTAGGGAAGATGGTCACATTGGCGGCGGTCGAGAGACGAGTCGATCTACAAGTCGCGGCGGCGGTCACATGGGCGCACACGTAGAGGACCGCTGCTAAACAAGCACAGACCCGCTGCAGGGCGAACACGCAAGCACTTCCTCTCTTACCCATAGTGACAACACACTGAACCTTGTTTCTCTCTACCTCACGCTGTGCACACCTTCTCAACCTTGACTTCCTGTCACAACTTCCTCCAGGACCATAAAGATCAGCTTCAACTCCACCTCCCAAATCATAGCTCTCACGCAACACTCACGCCGCAGCCTTCAAACTAAAGATCTGTCTCAAGCAACATGCTTTTTCACCTCCACTTCTGCCTTCACTTATCCTAGGACAGCCTTCGACATCAGTCGCATATGTGTACCACAAGAAAGTCTGAATTCTGAACTGAAAGAACAGATCTAGCTTGGGATCTGTGAACCAAACGCACCAAATAGTTGAGATAGATTTGAAGTTGGGTGAGACCACCCACCAAGCTCTGCGATCGATGTCGATCTACTGTATACTGCACTTCGCACTCACGTGGAAGCTGTCCATCAAAGGCTTTCCACCGTATATTTTTTTTGGATTGAGAAAGGCAAAAGCCCTGGATCTACGCTGGTCTGCCAAACATGTTGGTCGACAATCGGTGAGCGAGATGGGGATTCATGTGCTGAAACAACGGGAGCAAGCAGGAGGCGAGGTGCCAAAAACAGATAGAGTCCAAATGAGGAGGTTTTGGGGTGATATTGTTGGCCTGTTGTTTCATTGGCGGGCCATCTCCGAGTCCTTATTGTAGGGACAGGCCCCATGTGGACCTCTCTTCTATATTAATAGTGTCACGTTCACGTGCTGTGCAACACAGGGCTCTCTGTACTGGACAGTACATGGAGATTCACCGGACCAACCACAAACCCAACCAAAAAGACCTCCACTTACGCCTGCTGCAGATCCTCTCTCTTGAAAATCACAACTCTTGTTTTGTAATGGGGCTCATTCTTCTCTGTCAGGTTGTTAGCTTGTCACCTTCCCCCCTCCCCATTCGGAACCTGCAACTGGGTTCGGCAAAGCTTTGGGGGCAGGTGGCTCTGGGCACAAGGAGATGGAAGAAAACAAAACACAAAATGACAAAAGGTTCAACAAATACATGTTGTGTATCCATACTTGGGTGTTGCTTGGACTTACAAACAAAGGTGTTCTTTTCATCCATAGCATTGGTATATGTGTCAATATGAGTTCCGATTATTGACAAGTGACGAGGAGGCATTGTATTTTCAGCCAAAGAATTGCATTAAGAAAAAGAAAAATATTATAAAGTAACGTAAAGTTTATATTGTTGTTTTTTTAATGGAACAAGATAATACTTTATTTATTATTTTTATAAAAAATAAAAATGTTCATTGTGTGTTAAAGTGTAAATGGATTACATACTAAATCATATAACCATAATTGGCAAAAAAAAAACAGAAAAAACATGTATTAAATTATAGTAATATCAATATTCAAAGTAATCTCAATGATGTATTTACATTTCTAAATAACAATTTTTCTCTCAAAAAAACTCTCGTGATGTGAACAAACATTTTACCAAACACTTACATACACACACATATATATATATATATATATATATATGTGTGTGTGGGCAAGCAAGATGTCTGTCTGTCTTTACTTCTTTATCTTCTTCACCTCAGTCTTATTAGTGCAAATTAGTATTATTAGTACAAATGAATCCGCGTCAACGTGCACGCTTCCCGACTCTGCCCTCACGTGGCCGCTTCGGTAGGATCTCGCCTCCTGCCATGCCACTCCTGCACAAGAAAGGGTGTGTGGGTGGGTGGGCCCTCTTTCTTACTTTTGTTTATGTTTGGATTAACAAGGAGAAAGACAAACCTTTGAATGATGCCCTCTTATAGATTATATTAACCGAATGTGAGTGTGTTACTGTTGCATGATCAATGATATTTTTCTTCCAGCTGTGATATTTTGTTGCGTGAACGTGGATAAGCATTGTACTCGATGTTTTTAGTACACGAATCAAGAGGATTACACTGGGAGGTTTTATGTTGGCACTGTAAAAATAACTGTTTACGTTTAGAAAGCCTGGATTGTACGTTTGATAACAAACATGGCTTTTTGAAACTATGTAAATGCGAAACTTATTTTTATTGATATGACGACTTTATTCGTTAGTTGAGGTCATAAGATTATGATCTACTAATCTCTGAACACACTTTTATTTTAAAATTATAATAATAGCATAACTGACATACTTATATTAGGAAGTAAATGCATAAGTTATATATACATTGAATAGGAAGGTTTATGTGATATTTTATAAAAGATATACACAGTAATATTTGTTAATCTTGTATTAGGTTACATGATTTTTTTTACATGACTTATTTAAGTTTTAATCTTGATTTTTTTCAACAAATACATATTCTTTTCATCTTTAAAAACATATCAAGCTATCTATTATATAAGCCATCTTGGATATAACACAGAGAGACATAGAGTAATTCAGATTGGCTATGAAGAAGGAAACTTAGGAAACATAGAGAATGCAAGAAATATGGGAACATGTATACGATAGAATAAATGTGCCAAAGATTGTAGTGCCTAAAGACACAAGTTTCTGCTACTGTGTATATATATCAAGAAAAAAATTAAATATAAAATATGTATTTATTATTTTAATAATATTAATAAATTTTATTTCAAAAAATATCTTTATTTTTTAAGATCTATTTTATAATTAATATATAATAATTTTACTATATAATATATTTAATAATAAATTGATTCCAATAAAGTTTAAAATTATATAAATTTTATTACAATAATAGATATATATATATATATATATATATATATTATTTCAAGTCTTCAAATTATATAATATTGTCATGGACAAACATATTTATTCTAATATTTATCTATATGATTAAGTAGAAGTAAGTAAAAGTAGATTTATTTTATAATATTTTCTAAAAAAGCTTCTTAGAAGCTTCATGGATGTTGCTTTGATTTTACGTATGGTTGTATTTGATTAGTAGGTTAGAAACTTTACCAACAAGTTAACAACGTATTGATAGCTTGTGGAATAAGCTAACTATGTGGCGCACAAATAGATAACTTGCCTTGTAAATAAAAATATATGTCTTGCAAAGTCAATATATTTTGGAGGTCCTATATGACATTGCCACGTAACTCTTAATTAAGAATATACATGGAAACAAGAGTAAAACCTTTTTCACTCTTGTCAATGCCTTTCTAGTCCTTAATCTTGTTTCAAGACTTTGTACTCTTCTTGTCTTTGATAATAGCTATTTTAGTTTCATATTATATCATCTTTGAGTGATTTTTTAGTCTTTTTGAGTGATATAGGAATATATTGACATTTTAATTCTTTGAGGTTCATGTTCTTGATAATTTGACAAGAATTCTAATTCAATTTTTTTTTTTTTTTAGAATTAAGTGGATTACCTTACTTCTATTGTTATGTTTTGAAGCTTGTGGATTATTCACTTTTAAACAAATTATTTAGTTTTTTGATATTGATTTTTTTTCTTAAAGAAAGTAGATTGCCTCTTTTGTGGAAATTTTTATTTGATATTAGAAGTTACAAATTATCCTCTTATAATTTGATTTGTGGATTTCGGAAGTTATTTGAAAGAGAAAGAAAATTATGGATGGTACACTTAGCAAAAGTATGAATAAATTTGTCAACACTTTTAAGATAAAAATTTTATATATCACCAGTACTAATTGAAAAAATACTAATCCTATGCCTATAGAAGAAATTCAAAGTTTGTATCAAAAAATTGTATAGTTGAGGGAAGCAAGTAAATAGACCTTACAACCAAATCCAAGAAATTTTGCTTCCACAAGTACAATAGGGATAAGGATTAGTATGCCCAAGAAGTTTGATGGAAGAAAATCAAAATTTTGAAGATTTCTACAACAAGTCAAGTTCTATCTATAGTTGCATTCTTTCCAATACCCCAATGGATTTATTCAAGTTGGATTCATAGACACACTTCTATCTAGAAGTGCTTTCTCTTGGTTTACATCTTTGATGGAAAAAGATTCATGATTCTTTTATGGCGACATTCAAAAAAAGTGATCAATAAAGAATAATAGAGATTGAGTTTTTATCTTTACAACAAAGATCATAGTCAACTAGTATATATATTATTGAATTTCAAAACCTCACTTGCAACATAGACTAAAATGAAAAAACCCTTATTAATCAATTTTGATATAGATTCAATGACAACATTAAAGATTTGTTATTGACAATGCCAAAAGTAAAATCTTTGGAATAATTTATTGCTCAAGCCATTACATGCAACAATTTATTATTTAAAAGATATTAAGAACAAAAATTTGGATGGAAAAGAACAAGTCAAGTAATGTCAATAGCTCTTAAGTTTTCAAAAAATTATTCATCAAGGCCAAAACCAATACAAATTGATATGATATGTTTTAAACATCTTACTAAGCAAAAAAAGATTCATCATTGTAAATAAGTTTTGTGCATATATTGTAGAGAATCTAAGCACACTGTTTGACATTGTCTAAAGAAACAACATAGTTGCAAAATGAGAAGCATGGTTGTTAAAAAGGACAATGTGTTGAAAAACGATTCTTTCTAGCTATAATAGGGACCATGCAATTGAAATCTTATGCAATTCTTAATAAAAAGTCTTATTCTCTCCTCAGTTCTTTCATCTTATTTTACAATAGAAGTTTATTTAGGACCAAAAAATCACAAAGTCTTAGCCTTGTAGGATTCACAAGCCTTAGCTTGTTATATACATAAAGACTTTGTCAAAAAATAAGATATATCCTTAGTTAAAAAAATCAAATCCATGCATATAGAAGTAATAGATGGTTGTTTGTTATCTTTTGAACATGTCACTTATAAAACTATTCCTATAGAAGTAGCAATTAGTAGTGATAATTATTTAATAATATTTAATATGATTAAATCTCCTTTTAATCTAATTATTTTAGGATTATCATGGTTAAAAAGATATAATCCTTAAATAGACTAGATTTCTTATAATCCTGATTTTTTTCCATAGTCTAATCTAAGATTTGCTAAGCAAGTAAAAACCCATAAGACCAATATATCCAAACCATTATTGGTAGGTGCAAGAACTTCCATGCATGATGTAAAAGAAAGACAACTTTTGTTATATACTCCACACCTATTATTGACAGAACAAAGATTTCAAGTGGTATTCCAAGCCAATACTAAGATTATCAAGACACCTTTGAATAGAAAAATGTATGTATTCTTCTAAAATATTGTCTTTATGATAATTCCATTGATCTTCAAGAAAGAGTTCGACCACTATTTGGATCAATCAATAGCCTATTACAAAACAAATTGGCTCCACTCAAAGAATGCATTGATGAAATTTTGGCTAAAAACTTCATATATCATTCTAAATCTCCAATCGAGGTTCCTATCTTATTTGTGAAGAAAAAGGACAAATCTTTATAGATATGTGTCATATATCAAGGACTCAAAAATATCACCATGAAGAACAAGTATCTTCTATTATTGATTTCAAGACTTTTTGATCGATTGAATCAAGTAAAGATCTATACAAAAATAGATCTACAAGGAGCATATAATCTAATAAGCATTAAAAAAAGAGACAAACTAAAAACTATATTTTTG